AAATTGCCTTGAGGGATTGTTTCTCGCCATTATATTCTTACTAGAAAATTGTGGCCAAGTTATCTTAGGATGACACAGCATTTGTCCTGTGTTTACAACAAAGATAAGGTGGAGGAGCTATCTGCAGAGGCACTGCAATAAGGCTCAGCTTGCTGAGTTTGACTTTTACATGAACATTTTAAACAGTTTCCATCCAACAAGGGTAAACATACGTTATGCATGCATACGTTTGTCTTCTCTCCCCTCTTTTCCTCTCTTTAAAGTGGCTTTCTGTCCTCATAATCATGGCAGGTTGTCTTTTTTTGTTACACTGAAGAACAAAAGAGCAATGCCAGCAAAAAAAAGCCTTCTGAAATGCCTTAATGCAATTGAGCTGCTAAGCACTGAGTTGTATTAGGTTATCAGTGGCTGAAATCCCTCATGGCGTGAGACATAAATCACACACGTCAGTCGTCCTTTCTTTTTTTCTTTTTTTCCCCGTCATTCTACAGCCTGCTCACTGCTATGGCAGTCTCAGAGGGGCTTCAACCTTGAAGCATTCAATCCTTCCTGGACCAGCCATGACATTAATATCATATTCCTGTCTGCACTCACTCAGCAGGAGTGAGACTAGTCTTTATTTTCATGTATGTCTAAACGTGTTTATCTGGTTATCGCCTGGTGAAATCATCAACCTGCGGTATATTACATTTGCTTATGGTTGTTTATGGTTCTAAATGCCAACACTGGACATGTAGCTTGCTCAGAATGCGGACAAAGAGAAATGTTGCAGCCTATTTTCTAATTATTATAACCAAATTTCCAGCCGTGCTCAAATTTCAACCAATGAAATTTTTATTCCTTATCTGCTGATTAGCTGATGAGCCAGCCGAACCCACTCTCTCTCCATTATTAAGAGTGCAACAGGAGAATTGCAGCCCACTTTTTCTCACTTCTAATGGAAGAAAGGGGCCCAATCGAATTGTAATCCTACAACCTCTAGCATTGTCGAACATTGAGCCAAAGTGGCAGGTGCCTGTTATAGTCTCCTGATTTAAAGTCGGCTTCATTGCCTGACAGCCGCAATGCATTTCAAGAAGTCTGTTGCTCTCGCCATTGTGAGTTGCCAGAGCTCTGGCAGGTGTAAGACATGCCCAACCTGGGATCTGAGCTGTGGAATGAAAGTAATTAAGTGAGTTCTCTCCCTATGCTGCAGACCAGTAAAGGACCCAGCTAGCACAGGGACATGGACTAAGCCTGTGAGGTGGATTTGTGAGATTCATATAGGCTTGCAGCGCAGCTTGGCACAGACCTGATGTATTGAGGCAGTGCAGTCTTTTGCTGATTTTGCTTTCATGACAAGTGTGGCTTGGCTGCAGTCCTGACACACCCTGGCATGCCACAAGGCAGATGGTGTGTCCCCAGGCTCCGCCGCCGCTCTCTTGCACCCCTCTCCTCACAACCCCATGCTCCTCCTGCTGTTGAATCGTCATTAGTGCAGTGGGACAGGAAGGACACATTGGAACAATTTGGAAATATTAACCTCCTCCTCCACCCAAACATGAGTGAGGCTGCAGCAGCTGGGTGATGGCGCCTTACGGAGACAGTATGATGATCTAAATTGTCGATGGTTCAAATCCCCGGATGCCCAGGATGGATCTGCGTAGGAATTAATAACATAGTTGTCTGCTATTGGGTGACAGTAGAATGCTGTAGATATACAAATTACTGGGTTGTAAAGGTATAAATATGACACACAGGGTGAAGCTGATAATGACCATGCAGATCTGAAATCCCCCTTGATAAAAAGGTACTTCCTACACAAACAAACTGCTGTTAGTCATCTACACTACTGCAATAATGTTGAGTAACACATTCAAAATGGAAGTGGAACCGCAAGAGACCACTTCATTCTATGACTAACTTTTTGTTTAATTTTCAATCAAAAAGAAATCATACTGGGAACTGGTTTGTCATCAGCTTACCTCTGCTTTTGTTGGGAAAAGAAAACTATACTTTCCTTACTGATTGGAATAAGAACATGAGCTGGGTGCTGAAAAGAGCTTTTACTGCCCAGCTCGGAGCTAAATATACACATGCCTGTTAAATCTGATTCTATTTTTTTTTTTTTATAGAGTTAGCTGTTTGATGACAAACTTTCAAAATGTTTTAAACACAAAGCTTTAAGTATGTTTGGACATGGGGGCCAGAGTCAAGATGTCCACAGTGTACAACGGCTGTAGATGTATTCCTTAAATCAGACAGCGTTTGAAGTGAGAAATCCTTGTTTTAGATATTTAATTAGTTACTTTCACAACAGAGTATTTTGAAGTAAAAATTATGTATTGTCCAAAAGCCCTTCAGCCTCTGCAGAATGTTAAACCAAGAGCCACTTGTGACTGATTGCCGATTCCTGTTTTGCTTTCAGAGCAACCGCCTGTTAGACTTTGATTTAGCCTGATTTTGATTGTTTGGGATAGTGAAACATTGGAGTTTAAGTGAAGTGTTCTCTGCCCTCTCGTACCATTCTACTTTAGACATTACCAAACCAGAATTTCCAAGCCATAAACATTAACCACTTATGGGCAGGAAGCCTGTTGGATATCAGGCCTAAACTAAAGGCCAAGCAAAGCGTAGTGTTTGAGTCTTGAATCCAAGCTTTGGTTTTTATCCCTGATTGCATTTCATCCCAAGACATCACTCTGTCTGATGCTATCAGATTTTTTCATCACATACCCCGCCCTTTATCTGTGCTACATTATGTCAACAGGAAAGGCAAAAAGATGATGTCATGTGTTTTGGAGTGGCTCCACACATAACTCAATAAGTGATTGAGCCGTTGCTTCCTGAAACATGCCCAAACATTCTTTGGCTCATGAAGATGCATGACATGAGTGGTAAGGTGAGTAAGGTGGTAGACGTTTAAGGTGTGAGCTCTGCTAAAACCTCACTCTGGGGGAATATGTAAACTACTTCTGTCATCTCAAGCTGCCTCTGAGAGTGTAAGATACAGCGTTTGGAGTGTTCTGTCACATTTGTGGGCTTTGGTCTCAAACCTCGAGCCACTTTGCTACAGTATGTGGACCGCAGTCAAATGGGCACTGGCCTCATTTAGGCCTCCCATTTAGATGATTCATATGTTTTGTTTTGCTTTTGTGAGGGTTACTTACTCTTTGGGCTGTGTTTGCAGTGACTGTATCTGAGGTGGGTTTGGCACTCGCTATGATTACTGATGGCTGAGTTTCTACGCAACAAGGTGCGAGATGGTAATGACACTGTGGCTGTAATGATGATTTGCAGAGAGTTTTAGGGTCTCTGGGGGCGCATAGATGTTGCTTATTTGAACGGCTGAATTTGAATTCAACTTGTGAGGGAAATATGTATATTTATGCTTCACAAAAACAAACCAGGACAATGTTTGTATTGGATTTTTACCCCTGCTTGAATTCACAGAAGCAAAACATTCGAGGAACCCATAATTATGCTGTGGCAGAAAAAAAAAGGTCCTAGTTATTTTCCCCAAAACAGATGGAGAGGGAATATTGAAGAAGGCGGATTTAACACACAGTAGCTGCTGTGAAACACATCCGTGGTACTTACTTCCTTTGCTATTATTTCCTAATCCATGTATAGTGGAGATGATCTGTGCAGGAATATAGCTGCCAGCATTTCCTTGTCTCTAAGCGGCTTACAAATTATCCCTAGTAAACTTTCTAACATTTAACACGGACATTTTGTTGGTGTTTTCCCAGCTGAACCCTTCAAACTCTCTCTTCTTACTTGCTTTCCTGATGCTTGGCAGGGGTGTGTGTGTGTGTGTGTGTGTGTGTGTGTGTGTGTGTGTGTGTGTGTGTGTGTGTGTGTGTGTGTGTGTGTGTGTGTGTGTGTGGCGCTCTCATGGGTGGCCTGCATTATGGTGTTAGCTTCTGGGAAGTGTGCTCCCTCTGTGGCAAAGATGGACAGCGGTCGCTCTCAGGAAAGCTGGCTAGGTGGAGGCACCGTACGGCGGGCATGAGGCTTGGTCCACCTCCAGTCTGCCCCGCCCAAGCCTCATCCACCAGATGAGTGATGAGCTTGTTTATAATGAGACCAAATCCCTTCCTGTTACACATGACTCATAGGGTGTAGTGCCAGTCATGTACGTGTTTACATGCTCGCTTAGGTGTATGCATAAGCGTTTCCTTATTTGTTTGAAACCCTTTTATAAAATGTTGCCAAGTTACAGAACATGCGGTGCCCTTCTCATCTACCCACTGATTGGCAGGACTAGACTGTCAGGAGTCTCAACAGAGAAATTTTCTAACAGCTGGCCCGTACTCCTGCAGTCACCACTCAGTGGATGCAGTGTCCAAGAGGTCAGGTGGCTCAGATGGGAGTTTATTTTCCTTTAAAGGAAAGATCTTTACTTTTAAAGTGGTGTCCTGGTAGATGAAGCAAACATTTCAAGAAAACAACTATCCCCCCAAGGCACCATAGACGCGGACTGCTACTCTGCTCCCTAAAGGTTTGAGCTGTATTTCTGGGTCTCTGGACGTCCACCTAATTGCCATCTACTGCAAAAAATGCTCAGCAAAAGAGCAAGACTGCAATTAGCCGTGGCTCACTGCCAGCTCTCTATAAATCTGCCAAATTGTTTCTCTTAAGAAAGTTGAGCAGTTGTGGTCTTCTTTCCTCTACTTTTGAAATGTAGGCCTGTCACTGGGCTATCGTATAATTAGGCAGACCAGCAGTAGCAGTGAGCGTGCTGTAAGGCTAAAACCTGAGACATTGTGGTGGTGTGCTGAAGCATACAGAGGTGGGATGTTATTTATGTGTTTCTCCTTTTATCTCCCGGCCTGCCTCGGTGGATATCACTTGGTCCTGTCCTGGGCCACAGCAGTATCTGTCAAACAGCTCTCCTGACACCGAACCCATGTTGTAGTGTTCAGCAGAGCGGCAAAATGAATTCCCCTCTTGCTATTTCACTTTTCTCCCTCCCTCCATCTCACCTTTCCTTGTTTTTTTTTTCTTTTCTTCTGCAGCTCATTATCCTTGAAGACTATGCGGACCCTTTCGATGCTGAGCAGGCTGGTGGCACTCAGACCTGTGTGGAAAAAGTGACAACTGAGAATGATGGCTACATGGAGCCATATGAGGCCCAGAAGATGATGGCAGGTAGATCAAACTTTGAATCGGTTTTCATTTTTGTGTCTCCCAGCCACCTTACATACATCTTCAGACCTTCAGTAATTGCAGGTTAAGTGACAAGTAAATGATTTTTGTCTTTGCTATGACTTCATATTGTATGGAGTCATGTCCAGGGGGAGTATTAATTAGTATGCAGGGTGCTTGGGCCATATGCTTCCAACCTGGAAGTTAATGAAGAGGCTCAATCGGCATAATGCCGCTTTACATGACTGGCACAGCAGAGCAAAAATGACCTGTGTGTCATGAAAGATTTCAAGAAATTTTAAAAACGCAGTGACCTTACCCCCAGAAATCATACAAGCCCATAAGTGATTTAAAAACACAGCTCAGAGGTATAAGACCAATAAAGAGAGAAGTGGGTTTTTTTTATTCCGTTGAACTTTGTGCATATGGAGACGGCCACTTGCTGGGATTTCCAGGAAGGCTTTTTTTTTGAGACAATAGCTATGTGCTAACATAAGAATTCAGTTGAACCACATTCTCCACACAGCTTTGTCACAGTGCACATTCATTCCGTGGCTAAGGGAGCACAGCAATGACAAAGGACAAAGAATGTGCAGAAAGAGAAGAGACATTATGCAAAATCTGGACAAAACTTAACATGTAGCAGCTGGTTTCCTCTTCTAAACAGACCATAGTACCTAAGAAAGGAATGTTGCAAAAACAATTTTGTATGACTGTCAGGCCTCAAATGGATGTTTCTGGAACATGGATGAATACAAGACATCAATATTTAAGCTTTGATATACTGATACAGTCATATATCATCTACAATATATCGGTAGCTCTCACCCTCCCGCGCACACTGTACTCACATAAACGCACATACACACTCGCTCCCATTGCTCCCACAAAGGCAGAACATGTCTCAGTCCCTTCTCTGCAATTTTCTTTTAATGGGCCTCCAGACGATCTCTTGTTTTCATCTGTCTTACTGGTTTGACCTCTGGTCCAGTCATTGCCTCAGCTGAGTACGAAAACTCAAGATTTATCGCCTCTCTCAGGTGGAGAGATCTGAGCATGGCATTTTGTGGTATCACTTGAAACTTGAACTCATTCCAGTTTTTTGTGTGCTTTTTTTTATTCAACTCGATACAGTTTTTCATTTGGCTGTATTGACAAACTAAACTACGCTGGCAGCAATTGTCTGTTTAATCTGATGAAATCTTCAGGTTTCAGAGACAAGACATATGCAACCAGAAACAACTACAACAAACGACTGTGTTGGTATTGTTTTCAGGCTGCCTGCTTTTATCCATCATATCTATTGATTGTCTTTTTTCTTCTTTTCTGCTGTTTTGACTGAGCTGGCAGAGTGCTGTTTTAAATATAGCTGTTATAGTGGATTTCTTTGGCTCTACTGTCATCCTTTTAATATTCATTATGATCCATAGATTTTTTGCCATGGACGAGTGGTTTCACTAGCATTAAATAATGCAATTAAATCAAACATGCAGGCACAGAGGTATGCCATGATTTGAGGAGGAGTAATATTTGATATATTCAACTGCATGTCAAATGTCTATAGAAAAATTTCATCAAATGTCTGACAGAAGTAACTCTGACCGGCCATATTGATAACTATGGGTTAGAATGTAATATTAATCATGTTTATAGATATAATAATGATTCAGGGTATAATATTTGATAACTGCACCAAAAACCCACATTTTATGTGTCACTGGTATGTTAGGAGTGTAGCAATAGCAGGTAGTGTTGCTGATTTCCTTCAACATTTATGTATCTAGGATTAAAACACCCAGCATGAATGCTCTTTTTCAACAACACCTTGCTCCAAATTCACACAATTATGCACATTCACACTTGGATGCTGCCCAGTTCGGCCCCACTGATGCAGTAGGGGGTTAAGCGCCTTGGCCGAGGGTACTTCAATGATGTAATGAGGGTCAGGTGCTGCTCTTTCCTCACAGCACCACGCGTGCACCAATACATCAGTATACTGACTATGGATATAGAGTAATTGCTGCATCTCTCATACTGACAGCAAATTGGTCAGGCAGAACTGCACACTCAGAATTTAGCTGGCTAAAAAGAAGGGAGGAACCACTGCATGGGCTGCAGCACTGAACCAAACTGCTCATGTGAAGCTAGAGGCTTGCATCTCTCTCTCATTCTGTCACTATTGCTCTTTGTCATCTCTTTCACTCTCCAGGCAAGGCACGTTTTATTTTTTCAATGACAACCTGCACTGTTAACAATACTTGATTTTTCTTTAGCTCCTCTCAGACTGTTGACTGTAGAAAGCCGTAGCTCTAAAAGCCTTCTTCTCTTCTCATCACTTGCTTTCACAGATGGGCGCAGATGGACACAAAACCCCAAACATGCCAACACAACAGAAACTTTTCTATTAATGGCTGTCAGAGCAAGTTTTTAATTTACCACCAGCCACAATTATATCATCTTTAAAACGGTTCGTCTACCTCCTCATAAAACGGACTTTAACTGTCTCAACTTGTAAAACTCAAAGGTGTGTAACTTCTTATAAAAAGGGCTTCCAACTTAATTCTAAGAAGTAGACTGGAAATAAATCAGACTGGAGTTTTGTAGTTTGTCTTCACAGACGATCTTTAGGTTTCAGGTTTCAGCACAAGATTTACTGCTGTCACAACAGACACACGCATACGTTGTTGTCGTGCCACTTAAGTTTTTTTTATTAAATCTTTCGAACAATCACGGTATTTTAGTTATCAGTATCTGCTGATATTTATAATTTCCTGCATAAGAGACCTTGATATCAATCTTGCTTATTAGCTTGGGAAAGCCCTCTTTGTAGTTCATATTTCCATGTTTTCTGACACATGCAGAAGCACTTGCATGTAATAACCTCTTGGAACTGGGCACCTCCGAGTAGTATCTTTATTGCTGAGTAATCACTTGTGGTTTTGCACTGCCTTTAGCAGAGATTAGAGGGTGACAGTAGAGTAGGTAAGCCCTAAAGCAATAGTGTGACTAAGCTGTTCCATAAATGATTCCATGGATTGAAAAGTCTCTCTAACAATCTAATTTACATGAGGTACGTATCACAATTATCCAGAGAAAACTGTGTGAATATTGCTTGTTGCAGTTAGGGAGTCGCAGTGATAAAGCGTGTATGGTTTTGAGCCTCTATAAAGACTTGCCTTTTTAGTTACAAAATCTGCAGTTGTCAGTGCTTTTCAGCAAATTCTGTTTTTCAAGACACATAACTTGAGACAAATCACTTCCTCTCTGGCAGAAGGTTATTCCCAGTAAAAACCACCCAGTAAAACGCTAACAAATGAACTACAGGTAAAATTATTGTTGTTAGGATATTAGCTGAACATGTAATTTAAATGTTATTGCTGCTGTAGGTTTCTTGAAATCATTTGAATGCAAATGTTTTATTTCCAAACCTAGCTTAATTTGTACAATCACTCTGACGTCATTGTGAGCAACAAGCATGAGGTCAGTCTGTACTCTTATACTGATTAGAAAATGCTTTTTCACACTCCCCCTTTGCCTTGTATTTAGCATTTGATAAGCCATTGCAGGCTCAGGAGGTAAACAACCTGATTGATTATACTTTACCATGTATTCACTGCAAGCAATATGATCTACAAGTTACAGCGAGGCAATTCATTTTCTATAGAGATGAGCAAACAAAAAGCTTGTTGCACAAGAAAAGCCACTGCCCATAAACAGCCAATCGGATATCTGCATGTTCTATTTTTTTGCTGGTGTGATTCCATTCATTGAGCATTAGTTTGAATAGAAATGTCTAAAAATCTATAAGAAGCTCCTAATAGTCTTTCAAGTCAACTAATCCTCTACACCATTATTGTTCACGAAAGGAAGTTAATTTCAAAGCACACTGCTTTGTGCAAGTACACCTGCTAGGTATTCCAAGTAGCAGTTCCTCTATTGTTTTTTATTCTTAAAACTTGGATTTAAAAGCCAACCAACCAAAACAAGCCTAAGGCCCCACCCACACAAAGGGACCAATTAACCGCGTTGCTTTATTATTAAATCACAAAGGGTCACATGTTTATTAAGTGTACAGTATAGTTAAGGTCTGTCGCAACCGGAAGTGCTATTTTGAAGATACAATTATAATCACTTGATTACACAACATTCACACTTTACACACACAAACAGATGTACTCAACCACATTGTGGGAGGTGTGGCATGCAAGGCCTAAGGCGAAAAGTGCCACAGCCGTTTACATAATGGAGTGTGCACTACTGCTGTCTGAGTGCTTGTGTTTGTTGGCACACACACTCTCGTGCATGTGCACTTGACTTTGTGTGTGTGTGAGCTGAACTGGCTGGCACTCATGCTTGTGTACGTGTGTGTGCTCCATGTCTGTCTCTCCCAAGAGCCATCCTTAGTGAGGCTGAGCCGGCAGATTTATGGGCCCGCTGGAGGGGCATGTCACGACTTCCTTAACCTGAAAAGCCAGCAACCCCACCCCCCTCCCCCATAAGTTGTTCCACACTGGTTGCCGGCCGGGGCTTACTGCACCACCTGCAGTTATTTGAAGACATGTGCACGGCCACTCTGTCTTTACAACATTTCCAGAGTGCCTTGAATGTTTGTCATGTCTACACGCATCGGCTATTGCATGTGCTATCTTTGTATCCATGTAAGTCTGTTGAATGTGTGTTTGGCATGTGTGTGTGAGTGAGCCTGGGAGAGGAAGTTTTTCTTCTCATTGTCAGGTGGTGTTCTGACATGCTGAGTTATTGTATTGAATGTGTGTAGCTTATATGTGGGTGTACGTATTTTGAATGTGTGCAAGTTCACAACAGATTTCACACTCATATAACCTTCTTTCTATATCTCGTTGTCTCTTTCGAACATATAAACACACCAAGATACGTTCACTGCGACACACACACATACCTCCTCAGCTGTCAGCATGGCCATTCCATGCATACCTCAATGCAAGCAGCAGCGCCTTATCACAAGAGCAGCTGTCGGAAGAAAG